AGGGGACGGGGAGCCTGGGGGCTGGCACTCATGGGCCCAGGGCTCGGAGGACGGGGGCGGGGAGAGGATGCCGGGTCATCTGTGGGCATGGCGCTGACCAGCGCTGGTGTGCAGGCGCACACGGGCAAGGCCGTGTGAGGTCTGGCTGCCGGAGTGGCTGGAGGAAGCCGGTTGTGGGAGTGGGGGGCGCCCGGGAGCCCAGCCAGGAGAGCTGACGGCCCACAGAGGTCTGGGTGGTAGGAACCTGAGGGGGAGGTGTGGGGGGAGGACAGGTGGGGTGGCCAAGGCCGTCCCAAGCCAGGGGGCCAGACTCTCAGGTCCCTGCCTAAGGGGGTCTGTTCCACAGGATGAAGGCCAGGGTCCCGGCTTTGAGGCACGGGTGGTGGTCTTGGTAGAGAGCATGATCCCACGCTCCACCTGGAGGGGTCCCGAACGTCTGGCGCACGGAAGCCCCTTCCGGGGCATGAGCCTCCTGCACCTGGCCGCTGCCCAGGGCTACGCGCGCCTCATCGAGACCCTGAGCCAGTGGCGGTGAGCAGGGCCGCGGGGACGGGGTACCAGTGCCAGGGCACTGAGGAGGGAGCTGTGCTCACTGTGGGAAGAGGGGCTGGGAGAGGGCTCTCCCTCGGGGAATGTTAACACCCCTGACTGGTGATGCTGATTTTCGGAGCTCCTCAGGCTCTGCGACTCTTTGAGGGCCTCGCCCTCCTGACCTCAGTGCTTCTAGACTAATTGCTCCCCGGCCCCTTCGATTCTGATGCTACTGCAGCGCCTGCCCTTACCCTGACGGGACTCTGGTGTCCCTGCCCCAAATCCTCTAGGAGTGTCGGGGCTGGGAGCTTAGACTTGGAGCAAGAGGCTGACCCGCTCAACGTGGACCACTTCTCTTGCACCCCTCTGGTGAGCGCATGCAGGGTGGCAGGGGGCCAGCCATGCTGCCTGGGGGGTCTGGGGGGATGCGCAGGGCGGCCCCAGGCCTCACCGCCCCCCCCCCCCCCCCCCCGCAGATGTGGGCCTGTGCCCTGGGCCACCTGGAAGCTGCGGTGCTCCTCTTCCGCTGGAACAGGCAGGCACTGAGCATCCCTGACTCTCTGGGCCGGCTGCCCCTGTCCGTGGCGCACTCCCGGGGTCACGTGCGCCTCGCCCGCTGCCTGCAGGAGCTGCAGAGACAGGAAGCTTCAGCCGAGCCCCCGCTCGCCCTGTCGCCCCCCTCCTCCAGCCCCGACACTGGTGAGGGCCGTTCCCAGTCTTCCTGAGGAGGCCGTGGGTGGGAGGAGGGCGGCCAGGGCTCCCGCTACCCTGGCTCCCCTCCCCTCGCAGGGCTGAGCAGCGTCTCCTCGCCCTCGGAGCTGTCGGACGGCACCTTCTCTGTCACATCGGCCTACTCCAGTGCCCCAGACGGCAGTCCTCCGCCCGTGCCTCGGCTGGCCTCCGAGATTGCCATGCAGGACATTGTCCCCGGCCAGGTCTCCTCAGGTGCCCCCGAGGCTCCCCTATTTCTCATGGACTGTGAAGCCACCAACCCCCAGGGGCCAGCCCCCTCACCGCCTCCTTTCCCACCAGCCCCGGACGGTGGGGCTGCCCCAGAGGACGTGGACGCCCCGCCAGCTGTGGATGTGATCCCGGTACGCAGCAGCCGCGGAGCTGTGAGGGGCGGGGTGGAGGTGTGGCGTAGATGCTGAGCATCCCACGAAACAGAAGCAGGGTCTGGCTTCAGTTTGGGAAGAAGGGGCTGGTTACCCTTGTTTTGGGGACGGGCATGGGAACCCTTGATTAGCTCCCACCAGAGACTGTGACTCAGAAATCATGAGGCATCAGAGGTTGAACATCCTGGGGAGTGGCCTCAGCTGGAGCTGGGTTGTAAGGGTTCCCCGCTGATCCATGAGGACACAGGGTTCTCTGGGAAGCGGGGCGGCATGGTGGAGTGAGGAGCGGGGAGGCCGGCATGGGGTTAACAACGAGGAGTCTGGGAGCGCAGCAGTGCACTGCTCTGCCCAAACCCGTGACCTGCCTGCCTCAGAGAGGCCACGGGACTCACTGCGCAGCACTGAAGTCCAGACACAGAGTACCGCGCTGCATGTGGCCGGCACGGAGTGCACAGGGGGGGCGTGGAGGGGGGCTCGAGGGTGCTGGGGTTGTGGGCCCAGCCTCCTGAAGGGCAAGTGCTCCATTCGCTCAGTTCCTGAATCCCCATCTGGAGCAGGCCCTTCCTGTCCCGTTTTCCACGTCTCCACACAGACGGCTGTGCACCCACGTGGGAGCCCAGGGGGTGTAAATGCAAGGATCGGAGAGTGGGGAGCAGAGACAGCCGTCCGTGAGGCCTCAGGGTCTGGTGGTGAGGGGAGTGACGGGACAGGACGTGGACGGTGGCTACGCTGTGGCAGGGTGGGAGCACCTGGCAGTCGGGGCGGCTCGGGACTCGGCAGCTTCTCCTTCATGCAGGTGGACATGATCTCACTGGCCAAGCAGATCATTGAAGCCACACCAGAGCGGATTAAACGAGAGGACTTCTCGGGGCTGCCCGAGGCCGGAGCACCCATGAGGGAGCGGACAGGGGCCCTTGGGCTCAGCGAGACCATGTCGTGGCTGGCCAGCTACCTGGAGAATGTGGACCATTTCCCCAGCTCAGCCCCTACCAGGTGACCAGCTCAGCACAGCATCCAGACGTGTCCATGGCACGTGGGAGCGAGGAAGGAACCTCTCCCACAGCCAGAGTTCCACCACGGCTCGGGCCTCAGGGCCTTTGAGGGAAGGATGAACTTGCTGAGGAGCTCCCAGGTCCCTCTCCAAGCTGTCGCTGGAGCTCTCCCTTCACCGCAGTCCCCGAGCAGAAGAGGAGGGACCTCACACGCCCCGTGACCTCCCTTCTCCCTCTTCCCCTCCAGCGAACTGCCCTTTGAGCGTGGCCGCCTGGCCGTCCCTCCAGCACCCTCCTGGGCAGAGTTTCTGTCCGCTTCCGCCAGCGGCAAGATGGAGAGTGATTTCGCCCTGCTGACGCTGTCGGATCACGAGCAGCGGGAACTGTACGAGGCGGCTCGCGTCATCCAGACAGCCTTCCGAAAGTACAAGGTCAGAGGGCTGGGGAGATTGTGGGCTCGCGGCCAGCTGAAAGGCAGGTCAGGAGTGGCCAGGTGGGCCCCTGGGGACTGACTTCCTTGTCTTGCCCCAGGGCCGGAGGCTGAAGGAGCAGCAGGAGGTGGCAGCGGCCGTGATCCAGCGCTGCTACCGGAAGTACAAGCAGGTGAGAGCCGGGGCTCTGGACAGCGCACCCGCACACACGCACACCTGCACGCGCACCTGCACACGCGCACCTGCGCGCACACCTGCACACTGGTACCCGTACACGCGCACCCCCACTCCAGAGCGCTGCTGAAGCCCTAACTCCCCTTCTCTCTCCACAAGCTGACCTGGATTGCGCTTAAGGTATAAGGCACGAGGTCTGGGTGGGAGGTTGTCCGTGATGATTCGGCCTTTCCGTGAGCGTGTGGATTAGAGACTTGCACCAGCTGAACCTGGGGGTGACCCGCAGGGGTCCAGGTCTCTGTACCTGCAGTTCAGCCCCCGTCCCCTCCCCCCATGTCTGCAGTTTGCACTCTATAAGAAGATGACCCAGGCGGCCATCCTGATCCAGAGCAAGTTCCGAAGCTACTATGAACAGAAGCGGTTTCAGCAGAGCCGCCGGGCGGCTGTACTCATCCAGCAGCACTACCGCTCCTACCGCCGCCGGCCCGGGCCTCCCCACCGGCCCACGGGCAGCCTGCCCGCCCGCAGCAAGTATGGCCGCCCGCAGCCCTCCACGTCCAGGCCCGAAGCCCCGAGCCCAGCATCCGGCCCCTGCCTCTCCCCGCCGGCCCCGGGGCTGAGGGCAAGGGTGCTGGTGGGCCACAGCTCCTCATCCTTTCTTCTTCCACCAGAGGCTCCTTTCTCACCAAGAAGCAGGACCAGGCAGCCCGGAAGATCATGAGATTCCTGCGGCGCTGCCGACACAGGTGCTCCCTTCCCTGGCTGGGTCCCCCAGGGCACCTCCACACCCCCCGCCCCAGCCTCCCCGCGGCCCCATCCGCTGGTCTCCTGACTCCTTCCCCGTCTCTCTGCAGGATGAGGGAACTGAAGCAGAACCAGGAGCTGGAAGGGCTCCCCCAGCCCGGACTGGCCACCTGACCTGCGCCCCGCCTTCCTCACCGCCCTGGGGGCCGCTTCTGGCAGTCTTAACAGGGAGAGGGCTCTCCGGGGGAGGGGAGCCCCCTGTCGGCAGCTGTCCCCCTCCCTAGGTCTCCGCCCTGCCCCACCTCAACCCTCTGGGTCGCACCCCCGATCTTTCGGCTCCCCGGCCCCCCAGACCCGCGAACCCCACCTCCCTGCATCTTCCGCCGTGACCTCCGGAGCCCTGCCTGCCCCTTCTCCATGGCCCCCTCTCTGCCTGCACCCGCCTCGACCCTTCCTGACTTGCCTTATTTATTTGTTGGACGCGTCTCTGAATGTATCCGCCTCGGTCCCCCCTCCGCCGCGCGCACCTCGTGTCGCAGGGCCGACCGCACCCCCACCCGACTCCGCATGTTGGCGTGTGTCCCCTCCCTCTGCGGCCCGCCTCCCCTGTCGCCCGCCGGCGGCCCGCGGTGCCCAGGCCGGAGGGGCTGTGCGGGGTCGCGCGCCGCGGAGCCCGCCTCGTGCCCCCCGTCCCCCGAGGGGAGGGGGCCTGTACATACTGTAACATACAGAGTATAGTGAAGAATCTATTTAAGGCGCCGCGGGGAGGGCTGCACCGCGCGGCGGGAGCCCCCGGCCGGCTCCATGAGCACTTTCTACTTGTGCATGGGCTTGGTTTCTACGAGTTGCCATTAAACATCGCTGCACCAGCCAGCCTCCGGCCTCTGTCTGCGCGGCGCGGGCGGGCGGGCGGGGCCTCGGCCGGCGGGGGACGACGGGCGGGGCGGGCGCGGAGCTTTCCGCCTCCGACGTGTTTCCGGCCTTAAAGGCATTTCGCCCTTCCCTTTAAGACGCACCGCCCCTTCTCAGTCACTCCCAAGATGGCGGACCTACTGGGCTCCATCCTGAGCTCCATGGAGAAGCCACCCAGCCTCGGGGACCAGGAGTCTCGGCGCAAGGCCCGAGGTGAGGACCCCAAATCCACAACCGCCTTTCTTCGCCCGGTTCTCAGGACCGCACTCTTCCCCCTTCGAACGATGCCGCCTCCTCAACCTTGAAAGACCCCCTCACAGGCCCCTACGGAGACCCCCCGAGTCCGTAAAAGGGCTGCCGGCCCGCCCGCTGTTCCTAGCGGCCGGTGATTGGCTGCCTGGAGCCCAGCTCCAGCCTCCCGCCTCTTTCCTACTGGCCTTCCGCAGTCCTTGTTTCCAATTCGCCGGCAGGCCCGCCCGTCCGCTGCTATCGTGCTCTGATTGGCTGGCTGCCTCCACCCCCTTGGTGTTCCTCGCCCCCTCTGCCGCGCCTGGGCCCGCCTGCCGGTCCGGAGGGGGCGTGTCCAGCTCGCGAGCCCCCACCCTCTCCGCATTCCGATTGGCTCCGGGGCACGCCCGTCCGCAAGCCCTTTGCCCCCATTGGCCGCTCCATTTCGGGTTCTGCCTACGACGTCTGGTCCGACCTTCCTCGGGCCCACCCCACCCTCGGCGCCTCGGATTGGTGGCCGGGCCCGCTCTGTGCCCTGCGCCCCTCCTACCTGCTTTCCCCGGTCCCTTCCGCGTCCCCGCCGCCCTGCCCTCCTGGGCAGCCGCCCAGTCCCGGCCGCACTGCCGATTAGAGGCACGGGGGCGCCCCGGCCGTCCGATCGGCGCCGTCTCCCCGCCCGGTTCCCCGAGCGGCCCCCGGCGGGCGGGCTCAGGTCCCTGCACCGGGCCGGGGCGGGCCGGGGCGGCAGGCTGGGGGCCGCGCCCACCGTCCGGGAGCCCGCAGTCTGGGCCGCGCACGGCATGGTCACACCCAAGTTTGACAGTCCCCTGGATACGCCCCCGAAAGGAATCGTCCGGGCTCCAGACCCGCCCTGCAGGGGGCTGACGGCTGGCGGGGGGCCCTTCAGCGAGACGGGAGCCCCTGCCCCCCTTTTTTTTTTTAAAGATTTTTTTTATTATTTATTTATTCATGAGAGACAGAGAGAGAGAGAGAGAGAGGCAGAGGGAGAAGCAGGCTCCCAAGGAGCAGGGAGCCCGATGCGGGACTCGATCCCAGGACCCTGGGATCATGACCTGAGCCGAAGGCAGACGCTTAACCATCTGAGCCACCCAGGCGCCCCGAGCCCCTGCCCCTTTGGGCAGACTTGTGTTCGAGACTTTCCGGGAGGGAGGCGGCACGTGGGAACGGTAGCGGCCGTGGCTGGACCAGGAAGCTGAGGTTCAGGGTTCAGTCACTTGCCTGAGGTCACAGGGTTACTAAGCGGCCGGGTTTTAAACCCTCCTGTGACTGGTAAGCTTGCGCTTTTTTTTTTTTTTTTTGCTTTGTTTTGTGTGTGTAGCCTACGTTCTTAACCTTAATCTCACGCCACCTCCCAGATGCGGAGGGGAGATTCACAGATCGGTTCGAAAACATCAGTGGTCAAGATAAGACGCACTGATGGCAAAGACAGAGGAGAGCCCCCAAGCTGTCCGGCCGGGGTCCGCGGGGAGGAACTGGAGAGGAGGTGAACAGGCTCCCTTGCCTGCTGGCAGCTCCCAGTCTGTAGGGAGACAAATAAGGAGTTACACTCTGTCGGTTCTTAGCACACGCTGGAGTGAGTCTGGGAACCCCAAGTGCTTGGGCCCCAGGGGAGGCAGTCAGCAACTCTGACTCACGGTGGGTCTAGGTTTGCAGGAGGAGGAACCACAGGTGGTGCAAAGGCGTGGAGTGGTTAGGGAAACGGGAAGTGGTCCAGTGCAGCTAGCTGGAGGACCCCGATCGGTGCAAGTGGGCCGGAAGGACAGGGGGATTCCAAGTGGCCTGACGGAGGGGAAGGGGCGCCAAGACCTGAGCTGGGGGAGCACCTGCACAGCTCGCCTTGGGCACCTGCAGTCCCAAAGGAGCAGGGTGTCGGATCAGTCACTTCAGCGCCCTCCTGTCTGTGGGAGTGAGAAGTGGGGGTGTTACAGAATATAGGAAGTTAAGGGCGCCTGGGTGGCTCAGTTGTTAAGCGTCTGCCTTCGGCTCAGGTCATGATCCCAGGGTCCTGGGATCGAGCCCCGCATCGGGCTCCCTGCTCCGCAGGAAGCCTGCTTCTCCCTCTCCCACTCCCCCTGCTTGTGTTCCCTCTCTCGCTGTGTCTCTCTGTCAAATACATAAATAAAATCTTTAAAAAAAAAAAAAAGAATATAGGAAGTTAAGTAATTTCCCCTTTCCTGTGTAGACGGTGTGATGGTAAGCTCTTGGAGGCCAGGGCTGAATCTGCTCTCAGCTCCCCAGCGGTCCCAGGTCCCTGCGTTGTGGGCATGGAATACATGCTTGTGGATCACGGGGCCAAGCATGGTTCTCCTCGCCACTGCCACTAAAGTGAGAGCTCTCAAAGGGAACGCTCCATCTCAGTGTCTGTGCCACAGGGCCTAGCAGAGTGCCAGGCACACAATGAGTATGCGCCGATGCTTGGAGAACAGGCACTAATCTGCCCTCCCAGCGGAGGCCTCTCCCAGGGCACGGCAGACTTCGTGTGAAGCCTGACAGACTCTCCCCACCCCTGCCTCCAGCCCCGGCCTCATGCTGCCATTTCTCACCCCCAGAGCAGGCTGCCCGCCTGAAGAAACTGCAGGAGCAAGAGAAGCAACAGAAAGTGGAGTTTCGTAAAAGGGTGAGCCCACTGGAGATGGCGGAGGCAGCCTCAGGAAGGACTTCCAAGAAGTTAGAGTTGGAAGGTTGAGGACTCAGGTTTTCCCAAATGTCTCCAGTGAGAAGCCTGGGGGCCAGTGGCATGGAGGCTGGGGAAGGTGTGGGGGGCAAGGCCCACTGACCCGACTCGGGAGAGGGGTTCTGGGGTGGAGCAGTCACCTCATGTCTTCCTCTTCTGTCTCCCAAGATGGAGAAAGAGGTGTCAGATTTCATCCAAGACAGTGGGCAGATCAAGAAAAAGTTTCAGCCGATGAACAAGATAGAGAGGAGCATCCTGTGAGTGTCGCTGCTCTGGGCCAGGGGAGATGTGACGGGCCAGCAGGGGACCCTAAGAGGGGGTGCTGGGCCCCTGGTGGCCCTACATGCTCTCCCCTCCGGCCTCCCTACGCAGACACGATGTGGTGGAAGTGGCCGGCCTGACGTCCTTCTCCTTTGGGGAAGATGACGAGTGTCGCTACGTCATGATCTTCAAAAAGGTGAAAGGCCCAAGCCCCCTGCCCGCCTCTCTCCTTTTCAGCCTGCGCCCCCCCCCCCCCCGGGGGAGAGGCGTGCGTGGAGCCCGTCTGTGGAGCCTCGACCCCACGGCCCCTCTGTCCCCAGGAGTTCGCGCCCTCCGATGAAGAGCTGGACTCCTACCGTCGCGGCGAGGAGTGGGACCCCCAAAAGGCCGAGGAGAAACGGAAGCTGAAGGTGAGCTCCGCCCGGCAGCCCACCCCCGGGAGGGGTTGGGGACAGGCCCCCGAGCGCTGGTGCCTGGCCTCTGCGCCCCTAGGAGCTGGCCCAGCAGCAGGAGGAGGCGGCGGCCCAGCAGGGCCCCGCGGTGGTGAGCCCCGCCAGCGACTACAAGGACAAGTACAGCCACCTCATTGGCAAGGGCGCGGCCAAGGACGCGGCCCACATGCTGCAGGCCAACAAGACCTACGGCTGTGGTGAGGCCCCGTGGGGGGGCGGGGGTCGGGGAGGCTGTGATGCAGGGCTCCCAGGCCCTGCCCACACTCCTCTCCCACTCCCACCCCCCAGTGCCCGTGGCCAACAAGAGGGACACTCGCTCCATCGAAGAGGCCATGAACGAGATCCGGGCCAAGAAGCGCCTGCGGCAGAGCGGGGAGGAGTTCCCGCCTACCTCCTAGGCACCGCGGCTCCCCAGGGCAGGGCCGGGGGGGGGGCGGGGGGAACAGGCTGCTGCTGCTAGAACCCACCCTGGAGCCCCACCTCCGCACCACCTCCCGCCGGCCTCACTCAGGCTGGGGGCCGGTGTTTGCCGCGTCGCTGTTGGAGCCTGGCTGTGTGTGTGCGTGTGTGCGTGTGTGCGTGTGTGCGAATGCGCAGGTGGGTATTTAACGTGTATTATTCTCCTTTCTCCTTGGAATTTCCTTCCCCGTGGGCTGGGATGACTTTGCATTCAATAAACACTGTTGACCCAACGTCCCGGTTTGTTTGGACAGAGAAAGGTGGGTCCCGCAGAGGAAGAGAATTTTAGGTCGAACAGTCTACAATGGTTGTGCTGGCCAAGGATGGCCAAACACTGGCACTTCCCTGAGGTTTATAGGAGATAGCATTTAAAGAGCACACTCGCTAGAGACAAACGGCCCAGCTTTGGCTCCTGGCTCCGCCGGTAAGGGAGACTTTCTCTGCCTTGGTTTCCCCACACATAAAATGGGGAGAAAACGGTCACTCTGTGATGGCGCTGGTTCACAGAGGGCACGGGTCGATATGTCAAGTGTCCGCAAGGGTTCCAGATCCTGAAAGCTTCGTGAGCACTGGGGCTCAGACCCGCAGTGCGCCCCGTGGTTAGATGGGATAGATCTGAGGGAGCCTCCCCTCATGGGGCGCTCAGACCCCTGCCCCCACCCCCCGGCTCCCCCTCAGCCTCCTTCCGAAGTGTGAACCCGTCCCTCCCCTTCCCTCCGTGTCCCGGCAGGTCGCCCGCGTGTTCCTCCCTTCTGCCCCCACCCCTCCACCTCCCATCTTGCCCGGAGACTGGCATCCCTCCGTCCCACCAAGGAGCACGCCACCGTCTTGCTTGCCACCAGTGTTTATTCCCCCCGGGAAGGGCCTGAAGGCCTAGATGGGTCCTGTGGGGGCTTGGGGCCTGCAGCTTCTCACTTGGCCTTCGGGTTACGGAACTTGCGTCCCGCAAAGACAGCCTTGTCCCCAAGCGCCTCCTCGATCCTAGAAGGCAGGCAAAGTCAGAGCGCCCTTCAACCCAACAGCCCGGGGCTCCCCTCGTCCGGGCCCGTGCAGCCCCTGTACCTCATGAGCTGGTTGTACTTGGCCAGACGCTCTGAGCGGCAGGGAGCACCAGTCTTGATCTGGGGAGGAAAGCAGAGTTCCCAGGGCTGCGTGAGGCTGGAGGTGGGAGCGGCCTGCGGTGGCAGGAATCCAGGGACCCGAGGAGACCCGTGAGTACCTGGCCCGTGCAGAGCCCCACAACGAGGTCGGCGATGAACGTGTCCTCAGTCTCCCCGGAGCGGTGGCTCACCATCACCCCCCAGCCGTTAGACTGAGCCAGTTTGCAGCTGGGCAGAGGGGACACTCAGTAAGGTGGACCGGGGCCTCCGAGGGAAAGCCAAGGGCTGGGTGGGGCTTTTCCCTTCGGTTTGGGGGAGTGGGCTCTTTGCGGGGAGGGAAATGACTAAGTTCTTTGGGAAGCAGGAGAAAAGGGGAGACTTGATTTTGAACATGGGCTCCTGAGATGCTGGTGGGAAGGAAGGGCAGAACCAGGGAGAGAGGAACAGCGTGGCCCGGGCGTGGGGCACGGCAGGGTCACCAGGGCAAAGCACTGGGGTCAGAAGGGTGGGGACGGGGCAGGAGCCAGGGCAAGTCAGACGTGGCAGACCGGGCCAAGCTGGGGCGGAGGGAGGCTGCGGCCGCCCCGGGGCCAGGAGGCACTCACGCCTGGATGGACTCGGTCACTGAGCCAATCTGGTTGACCTTCAGCAGCAAGCAGTTGCAGGCCTTCTTCTCAACGGCCTGGGCAATCCTCTTGGGGTTGGTGACTGTGAGGTCATCCCCCACGATCTGGATGTTCACCCCCGAGAGGAATGAGGTCCAGGTGGCCCAGTCATCCTGGTCAAAGGGGTCCTCGATGGAGACCACTGGAGGGGGTGAGGCAGAAGCCCGGGTAAAGGTCAGAGGGGCCTCACGGGGTGACAGGCAGGAAGAATCGGGGTGGGGATTTCCATGGGGCTAAGGACCGCGAGGGCCGCAGCGGTGGCAGTCACCGCGTTGGGCTGCCGCCGCCGGGGTCTTGGACAGGAGTGACGGAGCAGCTGGGGGTCTCACCAGGGTAGTTCTTGATGAAGTTCTTATACAGGTCCCCCAGCTTCTCCCCAGTGATGTGCCGCGCGGGGTCATCCGGGGACTTGAAGTCGAGGTCGTACTTCCCGTTGCGATAGAACTCAGACGCCGCCACGTCCATGCCAATGACCACCTTGTCAGGGTAGCCGGCCGCCTGGATGGCGGTCTTCAGCAGCTCCAGGGCTGGGGGAGGGGCGACAGGGCACCTGAGGCTCCAGGGCGCGCGGTCTCTGCATCCCGTCCTCCACGGGGACGCGGGGGGCCCTGGCCCTCAGCGCGCTCACACTGACCCTCATTGTTCTCCAGGATGTTGGGTGCAAAGCCACCCTCGTCACCCACGTTGGTGGCATCCTTCCCATACTTGGCCTTGATGACCCCCTTGAGGTGGTGGTAGACCTCAGCACCGATGCGCATAGCTTCCTTGAAGGAGCTGGCTCCCACGGGCAGGATCATAAACTCCTGCATGGCCAGCTTGTTTCCAGCATGGGAGCCCCCATTGATCACGTTGAAGGCCTGGTGAGGGGGAGGGGGGGCGGCTCAGACCCCGCCAGCTGGGACGGTCCAGGCGGAACCCCGCCTTCCCGAATTACCAGCCACGAGTCTAGAGGGAGTCCTGTCCCTCCTCAGAGTCTCTTGTCTCGTTTCTGTAAGACGGGGATACCACCCGCTTTCCCGTGGGATCTTACGCTGAAAGTCAGACAAACGGACTGAAAATCAGGCCCGCATGTGCCTGACCTGCGACAGCTAGCGGACGGCACTCACGGCAGGCCAGGCGCTGCCTAGGAGCCTTCCGTGGGGTCTCTGAGCTCCCTCCCTGCCCCCAGCACCCCTGTTAGCCCGGTCCTGTTACCACCCCCACTTCACAGACAAGGAAACGGGGGGCAGAGAGCGGATGTGCAGACTCGCCTAAGATCACACCCTAGCAAACAGGCAGGCCAGCTGTCCCCCGAGCTCCCGCGTGAACACAGTCCGCCCAGTTAGGGAGCAGGAAGGGGTCACGTTATTACTGACACGCGACGGGCTTGGGTCTGATGAGGATTCGGGGAGATACAAAGAGAGGCCAGACCCTCGCCACGAAGCAGCTCCCGATCTGACTCAGGGACTGGGGCACGGGGCAGAGCGAGCCGCCGGAGTCAGCACTGGGCCTAGCGCCGGAATGGGAAGGAGCGCGGGGTTACGCCGAGGGGAAGCAGCAGGGAGGCTTGGATTTGGATTGTGGGAAAGAGGGAGGGGCCGGCCGTAGCTGGAGAAGTTCCATTTCAGGAAAGCGTGTCTTTGGAGCTGGGTCTGGAAGGTAGACTTTCCAGGGGCCGCTCCTGCACGGCTCACTGGGTGGGGCGGCTTGGTCACTGTGGCATGAGACAAGGGCGGCTGCACTCACAGGGACCGGGAGGACCAAGTCCGGGTTCCCGGCCAGGTCTGCGATGTGCCGGTAGAGCGGGACCCCCTTCTCTGCTGCGCCAGCCTTGCACACGGCCAGGGAGACGCCCAGGATGGCATTGGCCCCAAACTTGGCTAGAGGAGGCAAGCACAAAGAAAGGGTGAGGGCTTCTCCTGCAGGGCTTGGGGTCACCCTGGGAAGCACCCGGAACGCCAGACCACTGGGCACGAAGGGTGTGCTAACAGCAGTCTCCCCCAGGAGCCCCCGCCCCAGGGGAATGTGTCAGCTTCAAGTCTGTGTCCACAGCCCGGCCAGGCCTGGTGGAGGGCAGGCACCAGGAAATGCCTGTGGAATGAATACAAATCCAGCCAGCCACGGTATGCCCCAAACTGTGGGACACAGAAGTAATCCTAACCAGAGCTCCGACCCGGGGTCCCTCCCCCTAGCCTTGCACTCACACTTGTTCTCAGTCCCATCCAGCTCGATCATAAATTTGTCAACTTTTTCTTGATCCACGACGCTTAGTTTCTGGAAGGAGAGATTGGGGGCGGGGGGGGCGGCGGAGAGCAGAGGTCACAGTTTTCAGGAGTCAGGGCATGTGAGGGAGGAAGTGCAGGTATTTGGGGGAGACAGGCTGGCGGGGCCAAGCAGGTATTTGGGGGAGACAGGCTGGCGGGGCCAAGCAAGGCCTCTCCCAGGAGTGAGCTGCTGGGGGTGAGGCGGCAAGGACATGGGGGCGGGGAGCAGGCTCCCGCTTGCCTTTTCCAGCAGAGCGGGGCCTAGGGTCTTGTTGATGTGTTCCACGGCCTTCAGGACCCCTAGAGAAGCCGGGGGGCGGGGCGTGGTGTTTCAAAACTGATTTAATCAGGCTCCTTAAGAGCATTGGGTTCCAATCCTCTACACCCCACGAGGCTGCTGAGGGCCCAGGTCCTGACCCCCCCCCCACACACACACAGGCTCGTCTGGCCACCGTCTTCCCTCACCTTTCCCCAGGTAGCGGGATTTGTCTCCATCTCTCAGTTCCAGGGCCTCATAGATACCCGTGGAAGCTCCGCTGGGCACAGCTGCTCGGAATCGGCCTGGGTGGGTTGAAAGGGAACGTCACACAGAGTCCCCTGAACCCCCAAAGGGCCGAAGTATGCTGAGCCCAGGGCCAGGGGCCAGTGCAGAGGGAGACTCCTGCTTCTCCGGACCAGGGAGCCAGGATGGAAGGGAAGAACTCTGGGGAAGGGGATCCCCAAGAAAGGAGAGCATGTGGGGCAAAACTGGGGGGGAGGGGGCAAGGACCCATGGGGCTGGGGTCCTCCAAGGCGAGGCCATTCCGAAGTCTGTGTTACCCTTGGCCGTATGCAGGTCCACCTCTACTGTGGGGTTGCCCCTGGAGTCCAGGATTTCCCGGGCAAAGATCTTCTGCATGGCCATGGCTGCAAGGCAGGAGGTGTGACCGAGTGTGGACAGTTGATCCCTGAAGGAACCCGAAATTCCTTGCCCTTCAAGAGTCTTCCCCACCCCAAGAAGGCAGGTGCGGGAGCTAAAAATATCCCACAAAAAGGTCACAGACCAAAGAGGCTGGCGCAGCCCCCTCCCCCACTCAGAACAGATCCTGCCCTAACCGAAGGATCCAGGGGCCTCTCCTTTAACTGCACCCTCTGCTCAGCTCCCTGCCCCCCCCCCCATGGCCCGCAGAGCTGCTCTGAGGCCCTCTCCCTCGTCCTTCTGCTTGCTGGCCCTCAGACCCTCTCC